CGGGTTTTGAGACGCTGTTAATAAGAGCCTCTGGCAGCAAAACTTGCTCCACAGCTCCTAACAGGAGCTGCTGCCACATCCCTGGCCCTGGGCTCTCCTCCAGCCAGAGGCAGACGGCAGGCAGTGCAGAGGGAAGGAGGTGGCTCCTGCAGCACCTGGTTCAGCTCTGAAGACCACGGCCCACAAATGGCTGGAAATCAGCAAAGCGACCTGGAAAAATATTGCAGGATGTTTGCCCTCCCCAAGGCAGCTCATCCAGGATCTAGGACACAGGGTTAGGGGAAGCATTGGTCTAACTCAGTGCAGCCCACCACGTTACTGACCGTAAAGAGACAGCCTAGACATCTAAATGGGGTTTTTTTAGCACAAAACTCACGCTGGGTTCCCAAAGCTGAGCAGACAGGCTCATGCAAGCTGTGTGCGCTCTGGTAGCTCAGAATAAGGAGACAAACCTTCCCTCTAGCGGCTGTACGGCACCCAAGTCTCACAGTTACCTCCTCCTCCCATGCAAAGACTAACAGCATTGTTTTCACCGGCTCTTAGGCTGAGCACAGATCCTAAGTGCATCAAATGTCTTACAAACATGCCGAGGCCATGCCGGGCAGCCGGCAGCGCCATTTGTGCACAAGTGCATCCCGGGCACCAGAGAAGCCCCACAGCCACGAAACACCGCTGGCCTATTTCTGCAGCAAGGGTGGTTTGTGGGGCCAATTCTTCAGCTGAGCTACTCCCCCTTACAGCAAGCATTTAGTGGGATGGGGGATCAGGCCAAGTTTCTCTAGGACCTTCTTATTCCAGGTCTTTGTCCCAGTTTCAGCCTTATCACCACCACAGCAGCAGCAGTCAGCGCAGATCCTAGCCTGTGCTGTTCAAATCCTACCTGCAGCACAAGCACACACCTCAGCACGTACATTTCCAAAAGGGTGAAGAGTTTCCACTTTTCCATTTACAAATCAGGGAGCTTATTCACACCCTGTTAAACTCGCACCCTACAACCAGGCCACTGAATATTGAACCAACCCTGTTGTCCATGACCAAGACGGTGCAGCACCTCAGACTACAGGGCTGTCTGCTGTTATAATCTGTAGGAAGAGGGATTATAATCTGTATACAGATCATACGGGAATACAGTGGGAAGTAGCCGTCTGCAGCCTCCCTGCTCACAGCAGCAGGTCAGTGGCACGGTCTCATGGGCTGTTTCCTGGGGAAAACACAGAAAACATTTTCCGGGGCTGCAGCAAACCCCATCCTCAGCAGCCGATCTGGGAATACCTCCCAGGGGGGTGTGCAGCTTTCAGCTTTGTGAACCCCTGCTGACTCCCTGCCATTGCACGCACGCACATGCACATACAAGTCGAGCCAGCTCCTCGCTCCTTGGGGAGACACAACACAGCACCACATCACCGACACCAACGCCGTAATTTCTGTGCCAAGTGGTCTCACCCTGACACAAGGGTTAACATGTCGTGGCAGCGTGCACTTCAAGGCACATGAATACACCTGCAGGAAAAAGCCCTTGCTCCCTCCACCAGTCCGTTCCACCTCTGGCAGGGCCAGAAAACGCAGTCCCTTGCAAAATGGCTGCATGCGGTATGACCAACTTTGCCTTTTCGGTTTGGGTCTTGCTTAAAAACCTTTCCAATGCATGCAATGCAAGAAATGCTTCCTTCTCTTGACTTTGCCATTTCTGTCTGCCCCAAACCCTTGGAGATGTTCTTAGCTTGGGGATCGATGGGTTGAAAAAAAACCCCACTCAAAATCACAGGTAGTGACCGCTACAGCCTTTACTAGAGACTTTGTTTTTTTAAGCTCAGGAAGATGCTCAGGTGTAGATTTGGAAGCCTTGAATTTCACTCCTGTTGGCCATTAATCACCCAGGGATGTTGTATTATAGCTATATTAAAAATGAATACAGCAACTTTGCCTTCCTCAAAGCAGGAAGTGAATAATGAATCAAAACTGCCCTTATTTCAGCTAAGGGAAAATGATAAATGGAACATGAATGCTATAAAATAAGAGGCAGAAAGGCTCTTTAATAAAGGTGATTTGCTGTTCAGATTATAACAGCCCTATCCACACCTCCTCTGATTATTCCCCTGCTATGCACACACTCCCAGGCCCAATGCAATCAGAAAAAAAAAAGATGACATTACCAGGGAGCAAGACCATCATCTTGCAGCAGAGCCCCAGGAGAAGATGTGCCTCTTCCAGAAACATCATCTAAGTCCCTGAATGGACAGGAGTTCACACCCAGTGTGTATGAGTCGTTGCTAAAATACACCCCAGCAGTAAAACCTTACTCTCCGTCCTTTAGTGCTTAGCCAAACACTGTTTGTGTCCAAAGAATGGGCTGAACGACAGTATTACAGCAACAGGGCCCTACTACACTAGCAAGCAGGTTGCGGAAGAGCCCTTTACCAGTAATCGAACCTATGTATCGGGTCACGGCTAAGGGTAGCACAGAAAATCTGTTACCAGCCTTGCTCAGAAAATTGGTCTTCCTCTAGCAGAGAGACAAGTTGTGTGCTCTTCTTGCCTCCATTTCTTTGGCAAAGGAGGGAATGCTTTCCAGCTTCACATGCCCTAGCCCCGCTGCAGCATGCCCTTGTCCACAGATGACCTGGCTGCCTCTGCTGGGAATGAGAATGAGAGAAGCTCAAAGCATGAATGCTTTGGGATTCTTTTGTTGAAGGCAGGTTTGAAAAATGAAACCAGCTGTAGTCCTTAAAACCCAGATTCTTACCAGCGCAGTGCATGTTCACACCAATGCATTTTATCATGTGTTGTCACTTAGCAATTGAGAAACCAGTTGGTGGCTCTAGCTCTGTTACTATGCAATTCCATCTTGCTTTTATTGCAGATAGTGGCTTTTCCTGAAATGGGAATGAGCTATTTTTTTGTCCCTCCAAATACCATTTGTAGAGTTACCTGAGTAGCTGCCAGCCTGAGAAAAATTAATTCTGTAAAATATGCAGTAATTCTTCTACGCTATTCAGAAAATATACAAAACCATGTTTATAATATCCTACTCATCAAGAAAAACATCTCTAAGACAGAAACACAGCAACAAGATAAAATTAATATATCAAGAAGCACAAAACTCCCAGAACAAATCTAGTCAGTCTATTTTTTAATCCTGAGAAAAACACAGGCCACAGTATACATCTGTGTAAGGAACCTCACACACAAAAGTAACAAAGAGAAGTCTGTTTTAGACCGTCAGCCCTCTTCCCTTTTCTTGATGGACAAGCCTGTATAAATTCCACACGGATTAAAAAGCACTGGACCATGCAATTATAATGGTGGAGGGCATTTAAAATGCATTTACTGAGAAGAAACATTGTTAGCTGTCTCCTGATGGCAATATAGTCCACTGCATAGCTCCCCTTCCGTCATTTTATTTTGGATTTCTAAAATACTGCATGCAGCAATAAGTTACAGGATGGGAAAACAACTCATTCTGACAAAGTTACACTGAAGTACACGGCCCCGCTTTGGCAATTGGTTATCGTTGTTCAAATGGCCCAAGTACTCAGCTTGCATCAGTGCCAGACAGGCTTGACTATCATGCTCCCAGGACATTTCCAGATCCTACCTGTAGCCAAATTAAATTTGTAAAACAAAAGAGACAGGACCACCCCATCTAGGAAACCCCCTGCCTGCTGCTGGCTTGCTTCACTCACGGGCCAGGATCTACGACTTGTCAGAAACCTGACCAGGTCTCAGTTCTCGTCCGAGTCCGCTTTGCTCAAGCTCTGCTATAACTGACATGTATTTAAATTCACTAGATCTGTGGTTGAAGGTCTCCACTAATTTGTAGGTCTCAGAACGATCCGTTGCATAGAAAAGCTGCACCTGATTTGCCAAGCACTGCGCTTCATGGACCACCTGCAACATAAAACAAAGAATTTGTTACCATCTGGTTTTGTTGTATTTGAGTATCCCGTTGAGAAGACTCTTCAGCAGCCGAAAGGCTGCAGTCCCACTCATCGAATGACTCAATTCCAAGTCACCTTAGGTTTTGCAAATCTCTTAACAAACCACCTCCCTCTTGTTCCTGGCCTACTTACACACTTTAGCACTGTGCCTATAAACTACCCTCCTGCTGAGCATACACCTCAGAGGTCAAGGATGTCTTTCGCAATCCCTGCGTGCTCTAAGGCACTGGAGATGCGCCGAAGTCTCATCTTTCCCTTCTTACGGTTGACCTATTTGCAAAAATTGATTGTCTACTCTAAGATACAACAGGGCAAATGCATTACCAATGACTTCTCTGTGCATAGTTTCAGAGCTGGTCTAAGTAGGTCAGTTAGAGGTGGGATGCTTCAGTTACCTTGTTCCACCAGTCCAATCCCTACTGCTATTAGCCCTAGCACTGTACCATTACAGATATGCAAATAACAGCACACCCCACACACAGGGAAAAGAGCAATGGCATGCAGAAACCTAACACAAAGCTCTGGAGGTCTCCTGCTTTAACGAGCAGTATTACGCTTCACTGTTTTAACTTGTTGGCAGGTTTTCATTTAAATTTGCTTCCATCAGTAAGAAAAACAGAAGCATTTCTATTTTTATTTTTTTTTTACAACAACAAACCAGAGTAAGAAAAAGGATGTATGAGCTGAAATCACCAGATAGACTGATGACTTCCTTCTAGCTTTCCCTAGTATTAAGTAGATTAGGTTAAAGAAATCTAGTAAGACCACTCTTTAGGAAAGGGTCTTTTAAAGTCTTGACTTTAATTTAGTTTTAATTCAAAACTATAGGAGGAGTTGCAGCATAAAGTGAAGGAAGCCAATGAATAGATTTCGCTGATTTCTCTTACCAAGAACTTTGAGTCCATTTCTGCTGTCATTAGTACTATCCCTTTTTCCTTCTGCAGCTCAGGATAATGGTACAAGACCAACTGACTAGGAGCAGTTTCACCCTGGGTCTGAAGGAGAGAAAGAAACCTGTCAATACAGAACTTCAGCTCTGTTGCAGATTTTGAGGCTTGATTACAAAACTACTGAGTATTAACTGCTATGGATACAGTCATTTTTCAAAGCTTAACCGTCAGTTCTAATTAAAGTTTCATTATTCCTGGTACTTAGAGAAAACAGGGATTTGCAGAGTTAGGTTGGGTTTTTTTCTTAACTAAAGACCATTTTGCATTTAAAATAACCTGCAATTTCCAGAAAGACATTTAATCTCATAGCATCTACTGGTATTTTAAGTAGTTTGCGCAAACAGCTCTAAAGTTTGGCTCTTGCTCTACTTTGAGACTATTTGACTTCTACCTCATTCTCCTTTAGATTAAAGAGACACTTAGTAACCATAAATTTACTAATTTACCCATAATTAATTTACTAATTTAACTGTAATTAACAGCAATTTTTCCCTGACAATTCTTCTCAAGTTAAGCTAAACAACCTGTTTGTTAAACTATTTAGCAAATAGTATATATTGCAATATGCTGATAACATATTTCTAGATCCTAAGCCATTTTTGGACTTTTTATTTCAACTCACCTGAATGTTTATAAGGGAAGTGAAGTGCAATTCTGTTCCTGACCACTGCCCCACAAAGAACTCATAGCCTTCTTTTCTTGGCAAAGCATACAGAAACTACAGAGAAATGAGAAAAAAAAATGAAGTTCTTTCACAGAAGATAACGATGCCCATGTCATACTGGCTTCCAGCATTTAAGTGCTTTAGCGAGAGAACCACAACAGAAAAAAGGGTTTCTTTGCCCCACCAGGGACCTTTTTGCTCACTTCTAGAAAATTAACAGCAGAAATGGTCAAACATAAGATAAGGAGCATTCAGAGTTTTTAATCCTGTAATGTCATCAACTATTCCAGAACAGGCAGTAAGTATTTTCTCTTCAGAGATTTACGGTCTATTCGGCTCCATAGGCTAGGGACTTGCTCATTTTCCCACACCAAGGGAAAGGACAGGATGGGAGCAGAAAAACAAGTGGGATACCTGACTCAGTGCCAATGCACTGTACAGAAATGCACTTAAAGCCATAAATAACTTTCCAAGCTCCAAGTAGCTTGGGAAGTCAGATATATTTGATCTTGCTCTTGGCAAGTGAAATACACAGGACCAATCCATCAATCCAGTAGTGTCTCCCATTCTGATGCACAAAAGCACTCAACGCAGCAAAGTCTAGCTACTTTATTTTCCTAAAGGAGTGAAACATTTCATTTCTGTCTCAGCACAGTGAAATTTGCACAAAGCCCATGCTTCGGTGCACTAATTACTGTAAAAACATGTGACTTTCAACAGAAAACAATACTAATCCAGCAGCATGTGGTACGAAACTGCAGAATATATTCTTTAGCTTGTTAGCTGTTCTGCTCTTTTGCAGTTTAACTTCTTCAATGCAACAGCCTGCTCATTCACACAGGCATCTTTTAAGTGAAGCTTACAAGATACCCACTGACCCACATGAGAAACAGCAAACCCAAATTTTGGGAGTCCACCCATTTCTGAAATAACCGTATTAAGCATTCTCAGTATTTTATGCTTTGTCGTGCTGGCATACACCTAAGACACAACCCACAGAGTATTTACTCTGTACCTGTAACAAAGGGTTCAGCTACACCCAATTCCCCCTTTCCTTCCCCTGTCACAGCTGTAGAATTACGATGCTCTGCAACAGAACTTACACTACTCAATTTTGCAGTGCCATATAGTCTTTTTTGACAACTCACACTCCCACAGAGAGAGAGATGCATAATTTACACAGCATACTGCCTGTCCACTTTGGCTTCCATGCAAATAGCTCGTATTTGCTTACCAACATTCACCTACCACAGATCCCCAGCGTGCTGAAGAAAGCATGGCTATGCACATTTATGATCAGGAAACACAAGCTAAGAGCTGACAAGGTTCAGCTCGTTCTGTGGACAGAACCTCAACATATTGATTCCTTGCCTGTCTCCCTTTCAGATACTCCTGCCTACCTTCACTTCCAGTAAACAAAAATAAAGAGGAGCAACTCACACTAACCATTAAGACAGAAGAATTCGCTTTCTCCATGTACGTGCAACGTAATGCCATGGTGACACGTAGCTACAGCTTAGCAACAGTTCCCCCCAGTTAAAGCAAGGATGCTTTAAGCAGTAAGGAAAGATATGCAGGAACATCAATGAAGCTGGCCTACGAGGCTTGGCTCTTCACAACACTGCACAGAAGAGATTTAACCACCAGACATCAATTAGCGGAAACCGGAGGCGTGTAGCTAACTAAATCCATTCCCTGGGAGATTCTGTGCTCTCGTTACTAAACCCTACATCTCTTAAATCTAGATATCTGATATCTAGATCAAACTTTAATACATATGAATAACCATTGCTTTTATCTGAACTCTAAGACAAGTATTTGAACATCTGGATTTTACAAATGGAGCCGATTCAATGAGTATGAATACAGGAGGGTCAAAAGTTTATGAATTAGGCTTTAGAGAGGAGAAATGCATTACAGATATACATCCACACACTGTGAGTCTCTGCCATACGTACCGATGGACACTTCTGGGCTCTCTTCCACATTAAATCAAACTTCTCCGCCTTTGGGGAAGGAGAAAGAAATTCAATTTTCGTAACACAAACGTGGATGCACAGTTATTCAGAATTGTCTCATTAACCTTTACTGGGTACAGCTTCCATCTACAGAAGGTCTCACTGCGGGCAAGGCTAACAATGAGTGTGTGGAAAGCTGTATTGAGTTCCTAGTTACCTAAATGTCATCAGGATCCAATTTTTAACAATGCTGTCTCTAAAATGCAGCAGCAAACTCCTGGATCCAAAGCTTTATTCCTTGGAGGTGGGGGGCCGACACTTTAGGCTCACATTACATCCTCCACTGTGTCACGTGGTGTCAACAGTTGAGCAAGACAACATACCCCTGGCCCCAAACTGTAGATTTTACATCATAGTCATCTGCTCTTCAGTATTAAAATGCAGCCTAGATATTTACTCAAACAACATACTTATTGCTTAGATTTATATTAAACCCACAAACGTATTTGGTCATCCCCAATGAAACCTGGCAATCTCATTCACGTATTCTCTGCATTCCCCCAAATCTTTTGCCTGCTCTTCTCTTCCCAGCACCATATATTAATACCTACTCTAAGGTGTTCATGAAAGAACACATATGTCATTCATTGACACAAAATGCCTCCATGTGTGCTTTTGAGCACTTGAGAATTATGCGAGGCCTTTCTTCCAGCCAACAAAAAACTTCTGGCAAAAGACGCAGTTTCTTCCCCCGATGACACCATGAACTACTTCCTAACGTGCCTAGAATCTGGTTTGCATTGAAGCCTTAAAAGCTTCCAAAGCTCCTCTAAAACAGTGCACCAAAGAACAGTGCCAGCCCCGCTAATGAAAGACCAACATCATCGTAACTGGAGTCCCTGGTTTTGGCCCTCTGCTACAGTAAACGTGCAATTCAAACAATTTTCACAACATCCACATGTTGGGAAAACTGAAACACGAAGCTGCTTGACTTCAAATCCCACATTGCCATTTTCAGAGTATATAGCACTTCATACATTTTGAACACAGCCTCCCGTCGCTTCGGCTGCAGCTCAAAGGGCCAAGTACAACTGCAAATCAGACCCCAGATCTAAATGAGGTTTCAAGAACGCAAGGAACACACAGTTCATGCCCAGCTGTGAAAAGACAGATTTAAGAGATCATGATCGCATAGAGAATCTGAAGCAAAGAATAAAAAGAAATCCCAAAAGCGAAAAACAGTCCTTCAGCCTAATGCAGATTAACAACAATTAACATCTGGTAAAGTTACCAGGACTAAGAAATATGATCTTATCACAGGAAGCACCATGCAATTTCAGTGAAAGACTGTGCTGCCAATAATTTTACATGTATGAAAGTAAGCCATAAGTGATTAGCCACGTGCAAGTTATTAGCCAAGTGCTCTAATACTGCCATATTAAACTTGAGTTAGCAGTCCGTGCTGCAGGGAAGAGGGGAAAGAAATGAGCAACTCTGAGAAAAAATTATGTGAAAAATACAAAAGCTACCTTAATAGATACTAGGGTCCTGGGAAGAATATTGGATACTCATGACAAAAAAATGCCTAGAAATTCAAGCCAGGTGTGCAGAAAAAAAAAGTAATAGCTTTATTAAGACTGATGTAAGTGAGGAAAAAAAAGGGATACACATTTTTGGAAACAAAAGCCTGTATCTGGGGCAGTAAGATCACTCAGTCCGGAAAGGAAGTTTGTTCTTGAAACCTCATTTTCCTTCAATGATTGCATTTAAAAGCAAGAGAATCACTGTTAGAAAGAAAAGCTTTGTATATTTGCCTTTCAAGTGCATAACTATAGGGGAATTACTTACAGGAATAACAGCGTAAACTGTATCTTTTGCAGAAAAATACTGATTCCAAATCTGTAGTAAACAAGGGAGATGAGGTACAGTTAAAAACAAGCATTTAGCAGTAATACTGAACGCTTTAAAAAGAATTCCATCAATGAACCTTTGTAAGCACCTTGAGAAGTCATTTTTCAATCAAGCCTGACTGACTTTCCTTCTAATGCAATACACTTCTCCTGAAGTTCCAGAGGACTTGTACCAAGTGACAGATTTCAACTAGGTAACAGAAATAAGCAGTGGGCTCAGAGGTGGCTCAAGATTTGCTAGCTATCAGAAGTGCTTCTTAGATTTTTCCCAACAATCACACTAATGATTTGTTGGGTTTAGTTTTTTTATTAAAGAACATACAAATGTTTTCAACGGAAGACAAGACTTTGCATAACGCTCCTCTGTGTTCACAATCTTTTTCTTTGCCACAGCAGGACAGCAACACCAACATAAAAGCTCAAACCAAGTCCTTAATAAATGGACGAGTACAAGTAATAGCCCAGAGTCCAGGACTCTTTCAACTGCTCTTCCCCAGACCTACATAACTGATCAGAATTGTCAGTGAAATGTTTAATCGGTGAAATGGAAATAGACGATCTTGAAGGAAACTCTTGAGTTATCAAATGCAATCCCTGCTACAGCTGGTCACGCGCCATCCCCTGCAGAGCACTTAACCACTTCCATAACGTTCTTCAGCTATCAGGAAAGCAGCTGGACTTCTGCTCTCTAAGTTGCATCAGAAGGCTCCTTCCTATGTGCTGCTCCCCTTAAATGATCATGCCCACATGAAGTTTCCTGGCATACAGTCTGATTAAGAAAAAAAATACCAGAGCCAACCAAAGCTGTATGAGAAATGTGGAACAGATGTGACTTGTAACGAGATAAAAGTGCAAGCAGCGCAAGGCCAAGGAAATATTAGGGAGAATAACTTGATTCACACTGTTCTTCAAACAAACAGACCCACCTACCTCCTTCTTACCCTAACCATCCTCAGTATGGGTACAGAGGCACCTGAGCGACAGATAATGTGAGCAAAGATAGAAGATGGCAAAAGCTTTGGTTTTATTCCTGCAGAACAGAGGTAGCATAATCCACGTGAGCTACTGCTAGGGTTCCCCTTTACCTGGCTTCAAACCTGACAGGAGTTTGCTTGTGCCAACTCAACTGCTACACATTAAATGGCAACAACAAGAATTACAATAGAGACAGTTTTTGAGTGATCAAGTCCAGACGTATTATTTATCAACGGGGTACATCCTAGGTGGACTTATCTATATGGAGAAAACTTTATATTCTACTATCGATGTGCATGTGAATGTGCTTTTTATAAATATACATCCGTCGCCATGTTTTGGTTTTCAGTCTTTTCCATCCTCACATGCAGATTACTGTTAAGCACAGATGCGGAGCAAACTTTATTCCATCTAAATCCCTCACCTGTTTTATCTCCTCCGCTGACTTTTCTTTCACCATCTCAACATTAAGAATCGAATCAAGCGTCTGCAAGAGAAAGCATAAGGAATTTGGCATGATGAGAGTTCTCTGATTCAAGTGAGAATCCATAATGAATGGCTGCAATTACAGAGAACAAAATAAAGCTCAAGGAAATTAATTCAATTTATAATGTGACTTAGTCCTCTGAATTGCCAAAGAAACTAGTAAATCATAAGCAGGAACACACTGAAAAGGGGATTCACACACTGGGGCAGAAAAGAAGAGATTCTGCCAGGACACAGAACACACTTTGCTCCAGTTCTGCACATCTCTGCTGAAGCTGCAAGAGGAGCTGCAGCCTTTCCCCTTCAGCCATCTCAGACATATGCTCTGTTGGCAGATTTACACAGAAAGTTTCCCAAAATTCAAGAACATGAAAGATAAAGCCATTCTCTTCTCCCCCTGCTGCCTGATCTTTGGAAATATATTTACATGCTGTAAAGGCACTTTAACCCTTTCAATTTATTATGTCAGCGTTCAGCAGATCCCCTAACTAGAAGGAACTTCCAGGATGTCAACAAAGAAAGGATTGGATAATAAAAAAACAGACTGCTGGGTAGTTTTAAGACTTGAACGTGATCCCAATAGTGAGTGAGTATCTTATACTTAAGTACAGCATAAAGAACATTAGTTTTGTCTCGAGAAGCTCTTGGCTGAACCACTGATGGGAGCAATACAAGTTAATCTACATCCTTGACTTGCCAGCACGTCCTCTCCTAACACTTAGGTTCATTTTACTTACCTTATCTTTTGTGAAACCTCCCTTTGATGTCTTTGTGCCCAAGCCTTCTGCCTAGAAGAAAACATTCTTCTTTAGTTTTTATAGCTGATGTTTTAATATAATTTACTTGCCTTCCCTGCCACACACAACATGCCTGCTGACAAGATCTCCTGAACACGAGCTCAAATCTAAGATACTTAAGAGACTGCTGCAATGAATTTTATTAAAATAAAATATTGATTAGGAAAATAAGAAGATAAGTAACTTAATGTGAATCATGAATTCCAAGATCAGAAAAGATTAAAGCAAACTATTACGCATTTTAGATCCACTATTATTGAACAGCTGTCTTTCACCCACTATAAAACGATAAATGCAAGAGCATGTCACTCCATCTGGCCAAACTAATCTGGAACTAATTAAATGCTTTAAATAAGGCCTCAAGCACAGAATTTACAGCCGAAAAAATAGCAAAGTAACATGCTGGAATACAGAAGACTATTTTCAGCCACCAGAGCATGAAATTCTGGGGCTCCATACTAAGAGGAACGCTGTATGTTTGTAGCATTATGCTGACCCTACATAAATGACATTGTAGTTTTAATATATGTGAATTGCAAAGAAAATAGGCCTTGCCTTTTCCTCCATGCATCTAATAAACTCTCCTTGGTTGGAGTATCCCACGGGCTGCTTTTTCACCTCATTTCTTTTTTCCATACGGGATTCAAACACATCTGGACTGGACCTGAACGGGAAAAGGGACTATTAGCACTGCTGGGTGGTTAACACCATCCTGGCCTTTTAAAACGTTTACCGTGGAACCGGTTCACGCTCCTAACTTAAAATTTTGTCTTCCTGTTAGTAAAACACTCTGTAAAACGCGTCGTAAAACACGGAGGCAGGCGACTGTCGCTGGCTCGGTGGCAATAATACACGCGAATTTCAAGGCAGCATGCGGCCTGAAGTAGTTCATTTACTCCTTAAGGCACAACGCTAAAAATTACCTCACTCTCCCCCCTCAAAAACAACC